TAACAATGGGATGGATACAGAGCAGTTTACAGTGTGAGGGGACAGGAAACTGTGGCTGTGTCTGCACCTCACTGGGAAGATAATCAGAAGGTTAAATCTTAAAACTCTCGAGTGTGTCTAAGCTGCCACACCCAGTGTGAGCACTAGACTTGCTGGGATTGAACTGGAGGCAGTGAAGTAGCTTTGGTGAAGGCCGTAGGAAGGGGCCAGATGACAGCTTTTCTCTTAGGCATGAAGAGACCAGAGAACAGTTAAGATACTCATTTTACCAGTAGGTATAGCAAACAAGGGTTCTAGAAAGATCTCAAACTCTGCTGGTGGAGACACATCACATAGGCAGTATAGTGCATTTTAAGACCCTCAAAACCACGAAACTGGGGAGGTAGAAAAACTTTTGCCATGCAAATCAAGCTTCCTACTCAGACAGGGAAGCCAGACCCGGTGCTCCTTGAGCTGTACTTGTCAGTAGGACAAGGTGCCATTAACAACAGTAATCGCACATTTCACAAATTCCATTCTTGAAATCCCATATTATTATAAATTATAAGCACACACGGCTGAGTATCCCATAATAAACACTGTAAGGTAGAACCATAGTTCATACTTTAAAAAATTGTTATAGGCATTTGAAAGCTGACAGCGGCAGCATTTCTTGGCACACGGCATGTATAATTACTGGAGTAGAATTATGAGATTAGGTGGGATCTTGAGACATTTGTTAGGGCATGGAGGGTCTTAGGGGTTGGGAGAGAAGCACTGTGTTGTTAGGAGTCTTAGGTTAGAATGCAGTACAGAATGTATGTCAGCCCAGGGAAAGTTCTTGCAGTAAAGGAACTGAAATTATATAACTAAAGTTTCAGAAAACCAGATATGAGTCTAAAGCAAGTTTAGGCACAGGGTCGTTCAGTTGCCCACTCTGCTCGAAGTCCTGGGTTCAGGGTTCAGAACTTCAAAAACCAGGTATGGTTATCCTATGGCTGTAGAGGTGGGGGCTGGAAAAGCAGAATTTCAAAGTCAACCTGTGGCGAAATAGCTATTCCGAAACCACAAAGAAAATGGGAGGCTGAAGAGTTGATGGTTCAGTGGGTATGGGTGCTTGCTGTGGAGGTGAGAAGATCTGAGTTCAAATCCCCATCTCCCAAGTGACATCTGAGCACAGCCAC